TCAGAACTCCTTGTACCAATATAGATACAGAAGGTAAATTTATTTTATTCAAACTTCTTTTGTTCCATTTAATTCATTTTTCTGTTCTTTAAACTGATATTCTGGAAACTTGTAGATATTATGCCTAAAAGTTCAGCAATGATACGCCTTCATGTATTTATGCCAGGTTTCTTAAAAGTTACAGTTGTGTCACCAGGTAAATTTTTACACTCCTTGAAAGTAGGGACAGACCTTAGGTATGCTTTTTTTTTTTTGCATTCCCTAATCTTCTAAGTAGAAGTTGTCAAAATAAGTACTTATTTTGGAAACCTTAGTGAAAAATACTATTAGAATGTAACTTTCTTCTTAAAGATACTTACATGGTACTCTTAAAACCTCTAGTTAATATAAAAGGTATGTCAGTGTAGTAATTAGAAGTAAGACTAAAAATTTAAGAATTTCTTATTGGATACATTATGACAACATTGAATGTGGGTCTTCTGCTCTGCTTCAGAGCAATGCTTTTCAAACTGCTTGTCTGCACTTGTTTTTTCTACTTCCTCATATTCCATTCACCTTTCCATATCCACTTTTCCATGAAAACTGTTCTGATTATTATTGTTGCCAAATCCAGGGACCTTTATCTTCACTTTTACCATGTATTGCCAACATACATCACAATTAACTACATTTCCTTCTTGAAACACACTCTTATTTTTTTCAGTGACATTATACTTTTCTGATTTTTCTATTCCTATTTCTTCATCTTTTACTGGTTCTTCTTTCTCTACATGACTTTCAGATGTTTGAGCACCTCTATACTTGGTCCTAAACCATCTTTTATATGAGAAAAAAAATTAGCAAATTTGGTTGTTTTAACTTAAGGTTCTTACCCTAATAAAAATAAAAATTAATTGGTATGAACTTAATTGTTATTTCACAAGTCTATTTCATTTGTCTTATTCATCTGTCAGCTTGTTGTACTATGGTAGCTTGCATATTGCTGTGATGCTGGAAACTATGGCAACAATATTTCAAATACCGGCAGAGTCACTCAGCTGAACAAGTTTCAGCAGAGCTTCCAAACTAAGATAGACTAGGAAGAAGGATTCTTCTGAAAAAATTGGTCACTGAAAACTTTATGGATAGCTGTGAAACATTATCTGATAAATTGCTGGCAGATGAATCTCTTAGGTTGGAAGGCACTCAGAATACCACTGGGGAAGATCTGCCTCCTCAAAGTAGACTCTACTTCAATGACATGGGTGAGTAAAGCTTCCAGATCTTCATTTGCTGATGTGATACAACCCAAAATGAGAAGATG